ATGCATTTGTCACAACTCACAGAACTCTACATGTAAAAAAGGTGAATTATACTGTATATACTGTATATATCCTTTAATTTAAAAAATACTTAAAAACAAAAATAAGCAAGCAATGACCTAATTTTAATTTACCAACAAAACCTGTCCAACCTTCTACCTTTAGCAGAATTATGCTTTAACTACACACACTGACAGCTTACCTATTTAAAAATACCCACAGAGAAGACTCTATAAGCCCAAATGATAGCATATAGCTACTCTACAAGATGGATTTTAAGATCGGGGCAACAAAAATTTGGCTAGGAAACGAATAAAAGTCACTTACATCTGTACTCAAACCAAACCAAACCAAAACAAAATGGAAAAATACCCCACCATAAAAATAAGCCTATTTTTCAAATCTGGCTCTGAGGTCCACTATGGCATGGAAACTTGGGACTAATACTCATAAGGCAAGGGGCCAGGTGCCCAACATAGCCTGATGCATCATATCAACCAATCTGAAGAGTAAATGACTCAGGATGACTATTCTAGATCCACAATAATGAAGCAGCCAATAAGATTTCCTTAATCCCATATTGTCTTGGGTCCTGACACTAAGCAAAATTCAATATATAGGGTAAGGCAAAGTCATTTCACAGATGGAACTATAAGAAATAAGTAATGAACTTGGAATAAGAGAAACGGTTAAAGGGTGCTGGGTGACTCAGTCAGTTCAGCGTCCACCTTCGCCTCGGGTCATGATCTCATGGTTCACGAGTTCAAGCCCCATGTCGGGCCCTGTGCTGACAGCTCAGAGCCTGGAGTCTGCTTTGGATTCTGTGTCTAGTTCTCTCTTTGCCCCTCTCCCCCTCGTGCTCTGTCTCTCTCTGTCTCTCAAAAATAAATGTAAAAAAAAAAAAAAAGAGAGAGAGAGAAAGGGTTAAGAATACAAGTTTTAGGGACACCTGACTGGGTCAGTCCATACAGCACGTGACCCTTGATCCTGAGGTCATGAGTTCAAGCCCCACATTGGGCATAGAGATTATTTTTTGTTGTTGTTTTTTGTTTAAGTTTATTTATTTGAGAGAGAGAGAGAGAGAGAGCACATGGGATAGGAGGAGAGAGTGAGAGAGAGAATCCCAAGCAGGCACTGTCAGTAAAAAGCCCAACGTGTGGCTCAACCTCACGAACTGTGAGATGGTGACCTGGGCCAAAATCAAAAGTCAGACACTTACCTGACTGAGCCACCCAGGCACCCCTTATTTTATTTTCTTTCAAAGTTTATTTATTTATTTTGAGAAAGAGAGAGCTCGAGCGAGCGAGGGGCAGAAAGAGGGAGAAAATCCCAAGCAGGCTTCACATGGTCTGTGCAGAGTCCGATGCAGAGCTCAAACCCACGAACTGTGAGATCATGACCTGAGCCAAAGTCGGACACTTGACTGAGCCACCAAGGCGCCCCGAGATTACTTTAAAACACACACACACACACACACACACACACACACACGTTTTATTTCACCATACCTATTGGCACACATACATACTATTTATACTGAACTGAACACATCATCATCTTAGTCTTCTTCTGCTTAACCCTGTCTCACTCTGAATATAAATTGTTCTGCCTTTCCTCCTTCCCTTCTCATCTGTTTCTATCTCCACCTTTCTTCCCGAGAAGTAGATATTTTTAATCTCCCTGAAGCTACAGGTCAGATTGGGGCAGCTCTAGAATAACAGAAAACACTAGGAGTTGAATTCCAGTCTGGGATGACCCTGAGGGTCCAAACTTGGACTCTGAGACCATTACAAAACCAACCTGAGTTTCTGAGTCAAGTATAGACTCATTCTGGTCTCTATGTGGACTGACATTAGCATCTACTACACCCAACACAGATATAAGTCAATAAACTATATTTTGAAGAAATAAGCAGGCATTCATTCTAACAAATCCCAGAAAATCTTTCTGAAAACAAGCACCTGTCTCTTACAGCAGCCCAACAAGATGGCAGATACAGTTTTAAGAGCTTATATCTAGATTTAGAGCACCCAAGATCATAACACTAAGGATACAAAGATAGGTGATAATAATCAACCTTGCAAAATAAAGAAATAAAAATAAATTTCAAGAAGTACCACTGCACACAAAATTATTAACCCACATTTCATGCCCTATAATGTATATAAATAAATGAAATGGGAATTCCTCTGGGAGCAAAGAAATGCTTTCAAGGGTTATCAGATCAGATTAAAGCCTTTTTCATTGGTCGCCCTGGGATACTAAGAACATATACAATTTATTCACCCAAGCTTAGTTAGTCTGTATCAGTCCCCAAGACTTTCATAAGAGAAGGTCTAACCTTTGAGCTATTTCTTACCTCAGTCTATTTCAAGTATTATTAATAGGCCCCCTGGAGCTTATCATTGACTCAAGCACCTCGTGGCCTAAGCAAAGGCTGCCAAGAAAGAAAGGTCTCTAAGTCAAAAGTAGCATCAAGGCACCACAACCTGAAGTGTAAATCATCTACTTGTGACCTTGTGGGGAAAGGAGAAAAGTCAACCACCAGTATCATCTGGGGGGTTCTTCCAACATGCCAAGATGGTAATTCACAGCTGGTCAAGAGGCCATAGCCAAACAAAAGGGAGAAAGAAAGCAATTATCCTGATAATTCATGTCGTGCATATATAACAGGTGGATATTTTAAATAATTCAGATAATTGTACCACTCTCCATTTCACAGAAGGACAGTCACAGAGTCAGTTGTTCAGCTACTGGCAGCTCCAGTCTCACATTTTGAATATAACCTTTCATACCTTAAGAGTTCTTCAGATCATGGAGAAACATACTGTCACTCTATGGAAACTAACTTGAGAAAGAGTTCCTGAGCCAATAAAGGCCCCTTGTCTTGATTCAAACAAAGAGATTGTTTCTCAACATAAGATTTATTTGGCCTCAAATCTTCGAGCAGTTTAATCTTTAGCTGAATTTGTCTATTATTGAGTAAACCTATACAGTTCAACTCATTGCCAGCCCTATAAACAGGGAGGAATGCCAATATTACATATGCAGGTGTTTTAAAAAACAGAACCAAACACGACTCAGAGCTGTCATCTCCTTCCTCTCCTATTTCGAAGGATTACTGAATGTGAAGAGCATACTAAGTGAGAGAAGTTGTACTTCACAATCTGGGATGGTGGTTAAGAAGAAGAAAAGGCACCAACAAGGTCAGCCTCAGGAGAAGGGAACAGAAAAGTGGTCACCTTGTATGAGAAGGAGACCTACCAGAGTGACGTCAAAGTAGGTGCTTTTCTCAGGGCATTATTAAAATGTGTTTGGTAAGGACCAGGTTCAGAGAGCAGAGTCATCTTAGAAGAAACAGGGCTACTGCGTTACACTAAGAAAAATACTTTGATAGAATCATGATTCAATAAAGGAACACAGGGACCAGAAAACTGGATTCTATTTCTCTATCATCTATAAACCCATGAAATGGTTCCTTCCAGAATCTAGATCTCAATCTCCTAAATAAAAATTCACATTCTCAAAGAATTCAGAAACTTAAAATAATGAATATGGTCCTCTTAGCATATATCTTATTTATATTCAGCTTCTTATTAGGTGATATATAAAGCTCTGGAATTTAAGTCTGAAAAATCCATGCCTGAGGGCAACTTCTCTCCTTCCTAATCTTGCACAAGTAACACTTTTCTGAGCTTCAGATTCCTCATCTGTAAAATGGGAATTACAACACTACTTGCCACACTTACTTCAAGAATCACTGCTGAGATTCATATAGGGGAAAGACATATGAAAGAATTTTTAAAGAGCAAAGGACCACACAAATGTTGGTTGCTACCTTAGGTGGGGCACTGTTATAGCAGGAAAATAAAACAGATACAAATAGGATGAAAAGAAGTTTCCTCCATCTGAGAGAGAAGGGTTGCAAACACAGTGAGGAATAATTTTAAGCTATTGGCTGATACATTCAGTGAAGTGGTAAGACGCAAAACGGAATTATTATTTAGAAGTGGGTTCTCATGCCAACACGTTGACTTTGCACACACAACAGAAAAAGAGAAATAAGAAAGATTAGGAGTGGGTGTCCAGCTCTCAGCTCACCGAAGTAACTGATGAAGTTCCATTTGGGAAGGGAGAGTGGAGTTAGTTCTGACAGTCAGTATATATTGAAGGTTACTGCATAAGTAAGAAAATTGTTGCATAAGATGAGACAAGTAAAAGTGTCATTACTAAGCACAGCATTGTTAAGTTATCCGCAATCCATGTACTATAGCTACAGATAGGGCAAATGATTTCTATAGAAAGCTTTAAGCAAAAAGAAAGGAAAAAGGCTATTCCACAAGTATCAAACAAACATAAGTGCTTCAGTAGGTTGGTTCTCCATAGGGAGCTCTTAGGGAGGTAATGCTCCTAAGAAGACGCCTACGACAATGAGGTCAGGGGTGTTCTAGGAGCCTGTAGGAGACACAAACTGTTTCTGAATCATTACAAACCAGCAAAACAAGAGGTGTGGTTTCAGAAGATCTGCTTGCCTTAACCCAATACAGGGCTTTGCTCTCTGAGTGATCGAAGATATTCTATCATAGGGTCACACAAACGGAAAACTGAATTTTCTGAGAAGGCATCAGACAAATGACGTTGACTATGCTTTCACGAGTGCCGCGGTGTCCAGGCACACCAACCAGACCGAGTGAAGAAGACTAATCTATAGGGATAACACCGGAGACCAAATCATCAGTAACCATGACAACTCAAGTAGGTGGAGGGAAATACAAACACTGACCAGGCAGCTGGGTGACACTATTCCTTCAGGTAGAGACCCCGGAGTCTGAAAAAGACTTGATTAGTGGAGGAAGCTGGCCAAGAATGAAACCGACTAGCCCCAAAGGACCATGCAGGAGGGCTCGGCGGTGACACTAACACTCTCTCCATGGGCAGCCCGCAGGGGTCACAGGTTCATCGGTAGGAGACTGGACGCCCATGAAGCCGAAAAAGGAGTTACCTGGTGCAGGGCTGTCAAACCGTCCACGTTGACCGTGTTGATGTCTGCACCTCTTGCCAGAAGCTTTTTCACCTCGTCGGTGTCCCCGCTAGAGCAAGCGGCCAGGAAGACAGCACCGTCCTCGAAGCGGACTCTTGGGCTCCCGCGACGAGTCTGCGCCTGCCGCCCGGTGCCTCGTCGCTCCGCGGGTTCCTGCTCTGTCAGCGAGCCCCGCCAGCGCCGAAGCTGCTCAGCCCGCCGCATTCGCGCCGACTCCGCCCGCTTCCCGCCTAGGTGCTCCAATTCTGCCATTGCTTCGGCCTCAGCAGCCGCTGCTGAAACTACCACCACTGGATTGCTATTGCTGCCCCAGTTGCCGCTGCCGCTTCCCTCAGAGCGCTTCAGCCGGGAGCAGAAGGCGGAGACCCCCGCACCGCCATCTTTACTCCTCCCGCCACTAGCACCGCCCGCACGCTCCCTCGGCTTCAACACGCAGGCGCTGCCCGCGCCTCGGGTCATCACGGGACTTGTAGTAAGAGACGGGCCCCGAGGGCAGGCCATGGCCTTGAGGGAACTACAAATCCCTGGATGCATCATTGAAGAGGCGATGACAGCCTCTCCCTACTTAGCCGCGGGACCCAGAGGGGTCACCTTTGCCCTAAAGCTGGAATTGTTTCCCGAACCGGCGTCAGCCTCTTTGGGCATTTTGGGAATTGTAGTTTATTCTTGTAGTGACTGCCGCCTAATCTTGGGTCCCTAATTATCACATCAGTCCTTTGAAGTGCAAAAGAGGCAGTAATTATTCCTATTTTCTGTTGGGGAAAACTAGACATAAAGTACCCGAAAGACTCAAATCTATGCCGTGGTTCTAAATTTAGAGTTTTATTTACATTATAACGTTTAATACGTTAATACGTATTAATCACAGTAAACCTAAAGGTGCATGGGGAGGAGGAGCATGGATACATATACAGTGGTACATATTATACATCAATTCTTTGAATGAGACACTTACATTTTAGGCCCTAAAAAGATCCAGGAAAGGATGCATCCCAGGATAGCGGAAAGAATATAAGCTTTCAATTCAAATTGAATTGACTTCTCTAAACAAGTTACTTGATTTCTCTGAGCCTGTTTCCTTATTTGTAAAGTGGGAATAGTAACACCTCACAGAATAGTCCTGTGGATCAAATAATACATTCAAGGATACCTAGTAATATACTTGGCACATATATGCTCACAATAAATATTAACTTCCCTTCTTTCTCCCTCCTCCTCTTCTACCCTTATCCTGGGTCTTAAATTCTTAAGAGACAGAGCGGATACCTTGTCTTTCATGATTTCTAACCCCACCCCCCACAAAGTTACAAAACGACAACTATGGGGCATACTAAATTCCCAAGGCTGCAAACAGGACATTTTCATATTCACAGTAAACTTGGTTATAAAACCTGTAAGCCTGATTTAATACCTATACCAGGGCTAAGGCCATGGACAAAATATAATTAAATGTGGTGTCCATAATGAAAGAGAACATATACAATTATTAGGTTCTGTATGTTTTCAAATAGTCTTCTGTATATATAAAATTTTTCATTAAAAATTATTACAAGTGATTAGGTCATTGTAAAGGGAAACTTTATTATATTCCATTGTGAACATTTGTGGTTGCCTCAACTTCCCCTGAGATGAATTGAGAATTAAATGAACAATGACATGCAAATGCAAAATATTATGTTTTAGAATACCATGTGTATCCACAATAGGCTTTAATTAGATATTCTTGAATACTTTATAAATATTGTCCTACTACGGCATCTTTGTGAATGGTGAATAACAATATGCATTAAATTATCAAGGGGTGTCTGGGTGGCTCAATCAGTTAAGTGCCTGACTCTTGATCTAGGCTCACGTCATGAAATCATGATTTGTAAGATCAGCCCCTCTGTGCTGAGCATGGAGCCTGCTTGGGGTTCTCTCTCTCCCTCTCCCTCTCTGTCCCTCCCCCACTTGCTCTCGTGTGCATGTGCTCTCTCTCTCAAAATAAACTAATAAATAAATAAAGGGGTGCCTGGGTGGTTCAGTTGGTTAAGCATCTGACTTCGGCTCAGGTCATGATCTCACCATTCATGAGTTTGAGCCCCACATCAATCTCTGCACACGTGCAAAGCCTGCTTGGGATCCTCTCTGTCCCCCTCTCTTTTTCTGCCCCTCCCCCACTTGTGTGTATGTTCTCTCTCTCTCTCTCTCTCTCTGTCTCTCAGGATAAATAAATAAACTTTTAAAAAAAGGGTGCCTGGGTGGCTCATTGGGCTCTGTGCTGACAGCTTGGAACCTGGAACCTGCTTGGGATTCTGTGTCTCCCTCTCTCTCTGCCCCTCCCCCACTTGCTCTCTCTCTCTCTCTCTCAAAAATAAATAAACATTAAAAAAATTAAACAAAAAATAAAAATAAAATAGTTAAGATGTAATCATTTATACTTTATATAGCCTTGTTTTCCTTACTACTGCGCAATAATTTACACTCACTGTAGAACTTGTCACCCCTCTTCATCTACTGCAGTTAAAAATATTCTGTATGAGGGGCGCCTGGGTGGCTCAGTCGGTTGCGCGTCCGACTTCAGCTCAGGTCACGATCTCGCTGTCCATGAGTTCGAGCCCCGCGTCGGGCTCTGGGCTGATGGCTCCGAGCCTGGAGCCTGCTTCCGATTCTGTGTCTCCCTCTCTCTCTGCCCCTCCCCCATTCATGCTCTGTCTCAAAAATAAATAAACGTAAAAAAAAAAATTTTTTTTTAAATATTCTGTATGAGATTCATTTTGTAACTTGTCAACATTAAACCTCTTATTACAACTCAGCCTCTTGCTGATAATTAACATTTCCCACAAGCTCTCAAACAGAACTCTCCCTATAGGATAAAAGAAACACTGATATTATATCAGATAGGAAAGAATATCCAGCTAGATGCTTAACCTTCTTCAAGAAACCATCATTAACTAAACTCTGCCAACCTAGATAGAAGCCAAAAAGTAGAGAGGGGCAAGGTTTTGGCATAACACAAATTGCTGAAATCTCAGACAAATCTCTGGGCAGCAATCCATGTATACTATCTTAATATTATGTTCCTGATACACAATGGCTCCTCAAAAAAAGCATGTATTGGGGCGCCTGGGTGGCACAGTCGGTTAAGCGTCCGACTTCAGCCAGGTCACGATCTCGCGGTCCGTGAGTTGGAGCCCCGCGTCAGGCTCTGGGCTGATGGCTCGGAGCCTGGAGCCTGTTTCCGATTCTGTGTCTCCCTCTCTCTCTGCCCCTCCCCCGTTCATGCTCTGTCTCTCTCTGTCCCAAAAATAAATAAAAAACGTTGAAAAAAAAAAAAAAGCAGGTATTATTGAACTGTATATTTTACTGACCTAATGGTTTTCTAATAAGAATTTTTTAACTGGGGTAAAATTTTCAGAGATCAATAATGTTACATTTCTTTTGGCTGTATTATTTTCACATTCAGAATCAGGGAAGAAGACACATCTGGTGCTAGTTGTATAAATACGCTAAAATTGAGCAAGTCCAAGTTAAATCCTTTCATTCCTAAGAGGTACACTTAAATTTCAACAGGAAGAATTCAGTCTCAACACTAGGAAGTTCCAGGAAATACTACCTTACTATATCTATTTTATTTGCTTTTGTTATCCTGAGGCCATTAGAGTGTAATGCCTTCTTTGGAGATTGTAAAGAAAAATATAAGTAACTAAGTTCCTTGGATAATTTAAGTGCATACCTACCTGGAAGGAGAGGAATGTATCTTCAGCTATGTGATTACAAAAAGCAGTAATAAGTATTATAAACCAATTAATTTAACTGGCTCAGGCAAAAAAAAAAAAAAAAAAAGCCATGCCACAAAAAATAAAACAAAATTAATCTGTGTATAATGGCTCAAAAAAGTTTTTCAAAATTAAAATCATGGAAGTTTTTCTGAAACATCTTCCCCCAACCAGAATTTCTGAGAATAAATTTATATCATCGGTCCATTAAACAAACCTGATAGTTTAGATTTACTAAAAAAAAATACTCCATATTAAAGAAAATATATTTTATATTCAAATGAGTAAACACTGACAAATAATCACAAATATGTTTTTGCTTTTAAATGTATTAAGGGAACTAGCTATGATGCATATATATTCTTGTGTGAAGAAATTTTTGTTAAGTAATTTCCCACAATACACTTAAAAAATAAATCATAATATTAGAATACTTCCTTTATAAAAGCAATTAACACCTGTATACGGTTAACAAAAATTTTTCAGCCTGGCCTCTATTCTCACCAGTTGACATACCTCCCTCTGGTGGACAAATGGAAACTGTACATTTAGCCCCTGGAGTTCTCTTTACCTTTTTTCTTTTATTCAATCCTTTCAATTTGGTTGCCAAAATTTTTGGCATTCGCTTGCTTTATGATACTATCTCTTCTTTCCACCAGACTCAACACAGTTCCTGCTTTTTCTAAGAGATGTCTTTAATATTTTATTTTTTCTTTGAGAGAGAGTGAGAGAGAGAGAGAGCCAGTGCAAGAGAGGGGAAGAGGGGCAGAGGGAGCGAGAGAGAGAATCCCAAGCAGGCTCCACACGGAGCCCAATGAAGGGCTGGATCCCATGATCCCGGGATCATAACCTGAGTAGAAATCAGGAGTCAGTTGCTCAACCAACTGAGACACCCAGATGCCCCTTTAAGAGACATTTTTAAGACTCATTTCTCAGACGGGGCCTGCTTGGGATTCTCTCTTTCTTTCAAAATAAATAAAAAGAAAAAAGATGTTTAAGACTCATTTCTCTTCTGAGGAAGTAATCCATTTCAATTCTGAAGATATAACTGTAATTGAGATTCAATTACAGTTGGGGTAGGAAGAAAATAGACACTGAAGGGATTAAAAAAAAAATCAGCAGTAACATAAGCAGCCAACTCTAGAAAACACTTCATTACAATGAGGAAATACTAGCAATAAATGCAAAACCCCAGTAGTGAACTGGAAATTAGGTTGAACAGTCCTAAGACTCCTTATGTTTGTAATTCATAAGCTACTTTAGTTGATTCATTCTTAAAATCAACGTGGGGATCCCCAGGGTAGAACCATGGACACAGAGCTAGTGAACATGTGGGTCTCCAGGGTAGAGGTAACATACCAGGCAGTGGGCTCCCGGAACCACGTGCTACTTAACACCATTGTGGACTACCCTAATTAACTTCCACTTGAACGCTTCCAGTGATGAAGGAATTCACTACCTCTCATGTTTACCTGTTCTGTTCTTCAAGGTTCTAATTGCTACAGTGCTTCATTGAGCTAAATTCTGCATCGCTTTAGCTTTCATCCATTGGTCTTTGATGTGTCCTCTGAAGCAGAATTTTCCATGTGAAAAAATACTTAAATGAAGAGACGTCTCACGCATTCCCTTCTCCAGTTCAAATATTTCCGGTTCCCTTCATTGTTCCTCCTATGAGGCGATTTCCAACTTCTTGCCTGCTCTGACAGAGAGAGCTGACTTCATAACAGAACTTGTCACCGCACGGGCCACACCAGTTGGTGCAGCCGGGCAGAACCTACGAGCGTCTCAGCCCTGAACGCCAGCTCCGCGTAAGAGATGGACGGGTGGCGTCGGAAGCGCGCTCCGATTTGAAAGCGGCGCGAGCGGAAGTCAGGTCAGAGCGCTAGCCAATAGGGCGCTGCGCTCCTCCCCCGGGCATTGCTGCGGGCCAATCGCAAGCCCCTAGGGGAGGGAGGCGGAGCCGCACCGAACTTCTGGGCTTGCGCAGGGGCGGGGAGCAGCTGCTCTGAGCGCTGCGGTGTTGCGAGTTGAGTTCGCCCAGGTAAGAGGGGAGTTTTCTGGTTGCGAGGTGGTGAAGACGCATGCCAGTGTTGGTCCCTGCGGTGCTAGGTGGAAAGGAGTCCTGTTTCTGCCTAATGGAGTTTCCACTCTTCGGAAGGGAGAAGCTGGGAAAAGCGGAGGCTTTGTAGAATCTCTGCAGCCCTTTGGTGGCCCGAGCTCCCCGAGCGCAGCAGGAAGTGTGTCCCTGGGAGAAGTATGCCTCGGGGCCACGCACAGGCGGTTCTGCCTTCTTCACCATCTGGTCCAAAGTTCACGTTTCCTTCATTAGCTACTGAAACTTATTACAGGGCTGCATACTGGTAGGCATTGTTGATTAAAAAAATTTTTTTTTAATTTCTTTTAATGTTTGTTTATTTTTGAGAGGGAGAGAGAGAGAGAGGGAGACACAGAGACACAGAATCGTCGCAGGCTCCAGGCTCCGAGCTGTCAGCATAGAGCCCGATGCGGGGCTCGAACCCACGAACTGGGAGATCTTGCCCTGAGCCGAACTCGGGCGCTTAACCGACTGAGCCCCCCGGGAGCCCCTGATTCAAAAAATTTTTTAAAAGAAAGGAAAAAAAACTTACATAGATAGACTAGACCTGCCCTCAAGGCATTTTGCCCTTAGGAGGAGAGGCTGTCAGAGATGAATTACCACTCACGATGCAAGTTGGTGTGGAAGCAGAGAGGGTGACCTTTGAAAGGAGTAGAGGATTGGGATGCATTACTAGAGAAGGGCAAGAAGTGATCATTTAATGTGTATATGTCTGTAGGTATGAAAGAATGAGACCCTGTGGGCAGCAAGAAGTTGCTGTGGCTGAAGCACAAGTTTGTGGAGAGTAGTTACTGGAAATGAAGTTGGAAATAGGCGTTGGGGTTTGATTGTAAAGAATCTTTGTGCCCAGAAAATAGTAATTAATGGCTTTTGAGCCAAGGAGTGCCATACACCAATTTGTGTTAATATCGTGAGACTGGGGTCTGGTTGAAGCAACCAGAGAAATTTCTTTAGAGAAATTGTCTGGCTTGTTCTCACCGTATTCTAATCCCTTTACCATGCCTTTCCCCTGGGTTCTCATTTTATATAAAACTACACTCTGTTACTTGTGGATTCTTACTGTCCTTGCTTTCTCAGTATCTGCTCACTGAGAAAAGTAGTAAGGATCTGTATATGAAAGGTGAGGTTAATTATCTAGTAAAATAACTGCCTCCAAAAGACGATACTCTTATAATAGTTTTTTTTTTTTTAATGTTTTTATTTATTTTTGAGACAGAGAGAGACAGAGCATGAGCAAGGGGAGGGGCAGAGAGAGAGGGAGACAAAGAATCTGAAGCAGGCTCCAGGCTCCGAGCAAAAGATGATATTCGTAATGGGTGTGACTAAGGAAATTTGGAAGTACTTTAAGGAATAATTTAGGGGCACCTGGGTTGCTCAGTCGTTTAAGCGCCTGCTTCAGATTCTGTCTCCTCTCTCTCTCTGCCCTCCCCACCTTGCCCTCTCTCCCTCTCCTTGTCTCTCTCTCTTTCTCTCTCTCTCTCTCTCTCAAATAAAAACAAAAATTTTTAAAGAATAGTTTATATGAAAGGTTGTTGTAGTATAATTATATTTAACGATTTAATTCACTTGTAATATTATTGATCTTATTTAAGTATTTCCGGAAGAGTTTGTTAATTGTGGAGGAGCAGCGAACCTGAAGATTAGAAAAGAAAGACCCAAAGGACCAATTTATCTGCAACACAGTGCAGGAGAGTGTCTTCACCTAACCAATACACCAATTTACTCTCCTTTAAACATCCCTGTGATTGAGGTAGGTGCCTCAATCTAAATTTATGATTATCATAAATAACAACCATTCAGCTTACAATCTGTGCCCACCAGGTAATCTTCTGATTATAATTAGTTTTCCAAGTAGAAATAACTTGAGAGACTGTGTGGGATTAAAATTAAAGATTTTACTGTAGTTGTACAAATTAATTAATTGACCTTTTAATGTTTAAGCCTTTGTGAGTGAGCCTGGAACAAATTAGTACATCTAAGCCCTACTAAATCTAGGTTTACTGCCAAGTTGAGTTTTTAGTTTATAAAACTGAGAACCAGATCCTGAGGTGTATGTATTTGTGGACTTTTATGAGGTAATTCTAAAACTTCATATGGAAGAGCAGAGGATCAAGAGTAATCAAGATATTCCTGAAAAAAAAGAACAAGGTGGAGGAACTCAACTTATATATATCAAGTCCTATTAATAAGTTATAGTAATTAAAATAGGTATTGGCTCAAAGATAATCCAATTGACCAGTGGAACAAATTGAAGAATCCCAAAACAGATCTACCCATATATGGAAATTTAATTTATGACCATATCAGCAGGGAAAGGATGGACTTTCCAATAAAAGGGACTAAGACAATTGGTTATTCATATGGAGGAAGAAATCCAAAATTGGGCCTCTACCTGACAGTATACCGAAAAAGTGATTCCCACTGGATTAAAGACTTAAATCGTAACACATTTAGAAGAATATGTAGACAAATAGCTAAGTTTGGGGGTAGGGAAAATTTTAATACACAAAAGTATCCGTGTAAAGGAAAAGGTTTTAAAATTGATTATGTTAGAGTTCATAGTTGTGCGTCGGTTCAAAGACATCAAAAGTTTGTCAAAAGACAAACTGGCAGATGGTATATGTAACTGGTATATGTAACATCAAAAGATCCGTGTCCTTTGAATAGTAGCTAAAGGGAGAAGTAGAGTTAGGAAGGGTGTTGAGTGGGTGTGGATGTGGGTGTTTGTTTTAGGTGAGAGAGATTTTGAGCATATGTGAATGTTGATGGGAAGGAGATTGGAAATACTAAAGAACTGGAAGGATGTGTAATCCAAGGTACATGGAGAAAACAGACATTTAAGCCTTTGCTTGTAAATATCTCAGAGTGAGACTACCTCCATATCATTCATTCCTTGCTTTCCTCACAAAGCTTATATGGACTTCCTCCCGCAGCTAATATTTGTCAATCCTTTTCTATGCCAGGCATGCTGAGGGGGCGGTGGGGGGTAAAATTAGACCCAGGCTCTACCTCATGAGTTTATAATTTGTCAACGGAAACAGACATTAATTGAAAACTTGTAGTGTTGTTTGTTGTTTGTAGAAATTTTTTCATTATTTACACTTTATTTTTAAAATTTACTTGCTTGAATAGGTAACAAGAAGGAAATAGAAAAAGCGTAGATTCCCTTCTCAGAATGGGGATTGATATGAAGAATTTGTTTTTTACTATATTGAAGCCATGTGCTAAAAACCCCAGTCACTATTGCTGACTATTTCATGGTTGCCCCTTTTCTCCCTAGTGAATCCCAGCCAGCTCCTAGGGTGGTGCAGTGAACTGTGTGTGGTTCCTTCTGCCTGAGGACCATGCAGAGAGCTTCCCGTCTGAAGAGGGAGCTGAAGTTGTTAGCCACAGAGCCACCCCCGGGCATCACTTGCTGGCAAGATAAGGACCAAATGGATGATCTGCGAGCTCGTACGTATCATGTGTTGCCTATGATGACCCTACTGGAGATTGTGCTGAAATCTGAACATTTGTATACTCTAAAGTAGAGACCAATGGCAAGGTCAAAGTGCCCTGCCACCTTTCTAACCCTAATTTGTTTACATGTATAAAAAGATTTGCTTGACATTGCTTCTTTGGTCTTTTATTACACCTTTTGCTGACTTTTAGCCAGGATTTGGGCACCAGCTCTGAAGCAGTGTTTAGACCAAAGGTCACCATCTCAAATATCTGTGAGGCCAGACAGGAAACATAAATGATTAGAATACTGCAGTCCATACAAAACAAATCTGCAGCTTGTATTTGATCTATGGTCAGTATTGTCCAACTTCTGTTTTGATCTTCCATCTCTCCTTTGTTTGACGCCATGAAACAAAGTACATGGGTACATTGGTGTCTTGCATGTGAGCTTATTAAAGCCCTGAAAGAGAATTACTGTCCTAGACCTAGCTTTTCTTTAGGACCGTCAATTTTATTAGGTCTGTATGGTGTGGTCATTTGAATCATCCAATTACCTTTTAACTAGGTTTTTTTCTTTTAAGAAATATTAGGTGCGGCTGACACACCTTATGAAAAAGGTGTTTTCAAGCTGGAAGTTATCATTCCTGAGAGGTTAGTATGAATTAGATTCTAAACTTACTAAAGCACAGTTAGTGGAAGATAGAGTAATATAGTAGAGTGTTAAATGTAGGAGTTAAAGGTCCTAGGTTTTAATCCTAGTCTTAGGATTTGATGTGACCTTGGGCAAGTTATCTCTCCGGAGTTCAAATTCCTTCTCTAAAAATGGGTTAGATCACATCTAAGGCCCCTCTTTTTTTCATTGTGCTGAAATGTATGTAACATAAAATTGATCATTTAAACCACTTTTAAGTGTTTGGTACGGTGGCATTAAATACATTCACATTGTTATGCACATATCACCATTCTACATCTCCAGAACTTTGTCATTTTCCCAGACTGAAACTCCATACCCATTCATCAGTAACTTGCCAGTCCTCTCTTCCCCCAGCACCTGGCAACCACCATTCTACTTTCTGTTTCTGTGTTAAGGCCCCTTTTAATTCAGATCTCCTTCAAGGCTCTCATCGGGTGAGTTGCAGTTGCAGATTTGTGCAGAATGAGGAAGGAAAGAAATGAATGTCTGTTATGTAGACGTCTATTCACTAGGTCAGATCCTGGCCAAACTTGTTAAAGTCCTGAGAGAAGTTGCGTAATAGTCCTGTGATAGATCAGTTCTGAAAATAGACTGGGAATTTTCCAAGGTTTGTGTCTCAGTAAAAAGGCATAATAACCAAATGGCAATGTATAAATCTTAATTGCATCCTGTTTTTAAAAAAACCATATGTAAAAAAAAAAAAAGACTGGGGAGCAATTGAGGATATCTGAATAGTAGATGATATTGGAGAATAAATTTTTAATTTTTTCATAGGTATACTGGTAGCACTGCAGTTATATAGGAGAATGACCTTATTCTTGGGAGACACATGATGAAGTATTTAGAGGGTGAAGTGGCTTGATCTAGGTGGTGGGTATATGAGTGTTTTTAATGCTATTATTTCAACTTTTGTAAGTTTTCATAATAAAAATTTGAGGAGAGAAAAGTTTTGCCTGTCAAAGGCTGTCTTCCTGATTAGTCATCAGGAAACTTTATAATACATTAAGAAGCAATATTTTAATAAAAATTCTCTATTGTCCTATGCTTTCAAAGGTATCCATTTGAACCCCCTCAGATCCGATTTCTTACTCCAATCTATCATCCAAACATTGATTCTGCTGGACGGATTTGTCTAGATGTTCTCAAATTGCCACCAAAAGTGAGTGCTGGGTAAAGGGTGGACTGTATAGCCATCTGTGGTTCTCCTCTATATAACTTGAATTAGAGTATAACATTTTTAGTAATACACAAGTATCTGTCTATTTGTCTGTGTATAGGGTGCCTGGAGACCATCTCTCAACATTGCAACCGTGTTGACTTCTATTCAGTTGCTCATGTCCGAACCCAACCCTGATGACCCACTCATGGCAGACATAGTAAGTATCTTCTTTTCCTCTGCGGCCCATATCCTACTTTCTTTATACCTCCGACTTCATTTGTGAGGATAGCTGTGGCAGCTGCAGCTGAACCACTACAAATCATTTTTCTTTCCACTGACTCTTCTTTGATTTTGTCTCAGTCCTCCGAATTTAAATATAATAAGCCAGTCTTCCTCAAGAATGCCAGGCAGTGGACAGAGAAGCATGCAAGACAGAAAGAGAAGGTATGATGATTGTACAGTTCTGATTTTGCTCCTGTTGTTAGCCCATTAAAAGTGTATCTGTTTATAAATGTATACATGTTTATGAACTTTGCTAAGTTTGTACTGTACTCTAGAGTAGCTAATTGATCTTTTTCTCCTATTGCAACTTTCTAAATACTTATTCAGCAAAACAGCCTAGTAGTTCAAACAAAAAGTACATTTTTCCTTAATAGTTGTCATCTATTGATAACACTAGAGGGCAGGCAGCATCTGGTTAATTTTATATATATATACTTTTCAATTTAATTTTTTTAAATTTATATCCAAATTAGCATATAGTGCAACAATGATTTCAGGAGTAGATTCCTTAGTGCTCCTTACCCCTTTAGCCCATCCCCCCCACACCCGCTCCAGTAACCCTCTGTCTGTTCTCCATATTTATGAGTCTCTTGTTTTGTCCCCCTCCTTGTTTTTATATTATTTTTGTTTCTCTTCCCTTATGTTCATCTGTTTTGTCTCTTAAAGTCTTCATATGAGTGAAGTCATATGATATTTGTCTTTCTCTGACTAATTTCACTTAGCATAATACCCTCCAGTTCCATCCACGTAGTTGCAAATGGCAAGATTTCATTCTTTTTGATTGCCGAGTAATACTCCATTGTATATGTATACCATATCTTCTTTATCCATTCATCCATTGATGGACATTTGGGCTCTTTCCATACTTTGGCTTTTGTTGATAGTGCTGCTATAAACATTGGGGTGCATGTGTCCCTTCAAAACAGCATACCTGTATCCCTTGGATAAATACCTAGTAGTGCAATTGCTGGGTCATAGGGTAGTTCTAGTTTTAGTTTTCTGAGGAACCTCCATACTGTTTTCCAGAGTGGTTGCACCAGCTTGCACTGCCACCAACAATGCAAAAGAGATCCTCTTTCTCTGCATCCTCGCCAACATCTGTTGTTGCCTGAGTTGTTAATGTTGGCCATTCTGACAGGTGTAAGGTGGTATTTCATTGTGGTTTTGATTTGTATTTCCCTGATGATGAGTGATGTTGAGCATTTTTTCATGTGTCAGTTGGCCATCTGGATGTCTTCTTTGGAGAAGTGTCTATTCATGTCTTTTGCCCATTTCTTCACTGGCTTATTTGTTTTTTGGGTGTTGAGTTTGATAAGTTCTTTATAGATTTTGGATACTAACCCTTTATCTGATATGTCGTTTGCAAATATGTTCTCCCATTCTGTAGGTTGTCTTTTAGTTTTGCCGATTGTTTCCTTCGCTATGCGGAAGCTTTTTATTTTGATGGGGTCCGAGTAGTTCATTTTTGTTTTTGTTTCCCTTGCCTCCGGAGACGTGTTGAGTAAGAAGTTGCTGTGGCCAAGATCAAAGAGGTTTTTGCCTGCTTTCTCCTCGAGGATTTTGATGGCTTCCTATCTTACATTTAGGTCTTTCATCCATTTTGAGTTTATTTTTGTTTATGGTGTAAGAAAGTGGTCCAGGTTCATTCTTCTGCATGTCGCTGTCCAGTTTTCCCAGCACCACTTACTGAAGGGTTAATTTTTTTATATATATTCTTGGGGGTAGCATGGATAAATGAGAGATGACTTAGATTCTTTTTTCAAAGTTTTCTTTTTTAATGCTGAGAAGCGACTACTGCAGGAATCAGGAAGGAGTGAGAGAGGTAGAGGAGGGAGGGGAAAATTAACATTTCTTATGGGACCATTCATGGAAGAAGGAAAATTTTCCCGATTTAAATTGATAGAACTTCCTCCTTTAACAATACAAGTTGTAGGAAAACAAAGATTTGCATGTTCTGTTTCTTGCTGAGTTATAACATCCTTCAGATTGAGTTAAGTAGCAGTTACTTATGAAAAGAAACAAAAATTTAAAATATACAAAAGATTGAGGAGGATGCTTTTGGAGGGAAAATTATATACAAGAGGCAACAAAGAAGTACTTGGAAATAATATTACAGCACTTCATTGTTCTCCATCCTGGTTTTAGTATGAACCTTCTATCTTACTGTATCTGCTCCTTTTTAGGCTGATAAGGAGGAGATGCCTGGTGATCTGCCAGAGGCTGGTGACTCAGAAGTATGCAGCACAACACAGAAAAGGAAAGCCAGGCAGCTGGGAGGCACAGAAAAGAAATTTTGCCCTGATGCTTAGGGGTTCGTCCTGGTCTTAGTTAATATATTCTTTGCTAAGATGCTCTAATTTGCTTACCTTTCTTGACTGTTTGTCTTTGTATTTGTTGACATTATCATTTTTTGTATCGTCTAAAACAGACCTTGTGTATTTACATATTCTCTACATAGATGCTCTGAGGGTAGTTTGTTTTATTTAGCTTGTACATACGTATTTTGAAACCTTTTAAACCTGAAAAATAAATAATCATTTAATGTTGAATGTGTGTTTATCCTGAATGTGTGTCTGGGAGCAAACTGTCCAGAAAGCTATATAATAAGAATGTTAAAATATTTGGAATTTTCTCTTTTATTTTGCCAACTTTCCAACATCACTCAGGACACTGAATGTTTGACATAGATGTAAAATAGCTATTGGAAACAGTTCAGTTACCACTAAGCTTTAGGGATTCTGGGTTTTCAGATTTTATTTTATTTTATTTTATTTTATTTTATTTTATTTTATTTTATTTTATCTTTAGAAGGGTTGTTTTTTTTTTTTTTTAATGTTTATTTATTTTTGAGAGAGACAGAGACAGAGCTTGAGCAGGGGAGGGGTAGAGAGAGGGGGAGACACAGAATCCGAAGCAGCTCCAGGCTCTGAGCTGTCAGCACAGAGCCCGATGCAGGGCTCGAACTCACAGACCGTGAGATCATGACTTGAGCTGAAGTCGGATGCCCAACCGACCGAGCCACCCAGGCACCCCGTTTTTAGAAGTTTTAATACAATGTGGGAATAAGGTAATGTACCCTTTTGTTAATTTTTTTGCAGCTTTAACTTTTTGTGATTTCTATAGCTAGTCAGAATTACTAGGGTATAATTTTCATTTGTTCAATAAATTATTGAACACCTGCTATGTACCAAGTATTGTGCTAGTGTTTTAGAATATAATGGTGAAAAATTCTGACATGAGGTTAACCAAATAATCATACAAATTTAAATAAGGATTTTTGTGTCATTTTCTGTCCCTAGCTTCATTTCATGGCAAGTACTACTCTGAACAAATAGGTGCCAAACTTGAATCCCCCACTCACAATTTTATAATATACTTGGATTTTGTTATTCTATTTAGATGACAGAGAAAACAGATTTGAAAAAGCAGAAATCAGTTGAAGTGGAAAGAGGCTGCCCATGCTGAGTGAAAGACTTTCTGAGGAATACAGATACTAGTAGTCTACCTAGAAAAATAAAGACTGTGATGTCCCTGTCCATATCCCAGTGTACCAGTTTTATCTCAGTGATTTTATACCTAGGCCAGGCACCACCCACACAAAATAGTGCATCTCTGGGGGCTCCTGGTTGGCTCAGTTGGCTGAGCATCTGACTCTTGATTTCTGCTTAGGTCATGGTCTCAGGTTCGTGAGTTTGAGACCCGCATCGGGCTCCATGCTAACAGTGCAAAGCCTGCTTGGGATTATCTCTCTCCCTCTCTCTCTGCCCCTCCCCACTCATGCCCCTCTCAAAATAAATAAATGAACTTTAAAATCGTGCCTTTCTGAATAGGCGATTTCCATTCATCCACCTCTGAGTTACCTTGTATCCTTCATTCAGCACAGCCTGCCACAAAACATGTAGGACTCAATACCCAGAAGATAAGAAATGGGAATTTATATAATCCATGGATGACAGATGATGGCCTAAGCTGAAAATATAAATTTCTTCTGTATCCCCCACTTCATCAATATCCAACTTCTATAGAATTCGTTATTTATTTATTTGATGTTTATTTTTGAGAGAGACAGAGACAGAGCACAAGCTGGGGAGGGACAGAGAGAAAGGGAGACACAAATCTGAAGCAGGCTCCAGGCTCTGAGCTGTCAGCACAGAGCTCTTCACAGGGCTTGAACCCAAGAACTGTGAGATCATGACCTGAGCCAAAGTCAGCCACTTAACTGACTGAGCCACCCAGGTGCCTTATTTATTTATTTGTTTGTTTATTTATTTAGATGTCCAACTTCTATAAAATTCTTTAACACATTTCTCAAAATCAGTTCTCTTTTTAAAATATTTTTTTAAATGTTTATTCATTTTGAGACAGCAAGAGAATGTGCATGCGTGGGCAGGGGAGGGGCGAGAGACAGGGAGAGAATCCCAAGCTGTCAGCACAGAGCCTGAAGCGGGACTCAATCTCATGAACTATGAGATCATCACCTGAGCCAAAACCAAAAGTTGGATGCTTAACTGACTTGAGCCACCAAGGCGCCCCCAAATCAGTTCTCTTTTTAAAGCCCAGAATTGATTTTCTTCCAGGCTTGTCTCCTACACTCATGCATATTTAGTTCTGATTTGGGCTTCCTAGATAACATTAGTGTATCGGTTGGGATGCTTTCAGTTGTGAGTGAAATCCAACTGGTGACCCTAACAAGGGAAGCTCTTTGCCTTACTGAGTAGAAAGTCCGGGGGTAGGGGGAGCATCTGTACTGGTATGTTCAGAGGCTCAACAATACCAAGATTTCAGTCTCTTTCCATCTGCCATCCAGAGTAATAACATTGTCTTGACGCTCTGCTCCTTAAACAAAGTCCCCTTTTAGAGTGACTACTAGCGGCAAGTAGGCTTATGTACTCTCTAATTTACACCCAGCAAGCCATGGAGCAAAAATTCCTATGATTGGACCATCTTGAAACCAATCGCTGTGACCAGGGAAATGCCACATGCTGATGAGGGTGAAGCCGGATGTGAAGTGTGAGATGAACTTAGGGAACAGTTGTAGGAAAGGAGCACCTCCTATAGGACAAACCCCCTACACAACTGATCCATCACCAAGTCTGGTCAGTTCTGCCAGCCACTTCTCTCTACCTCTTCTAACACTGGTTCAAGCTGCCATCATCCCACTTGTAGCACAGTCATAGCCTATGTCTCCTTGCCCCCAGCCTTGACCCTCTCTACAGTCCATTCTCACAGCAGCAAGAACAAACTTTTGATGATCTAAAAGCCAGATTTTATTTCCTTCCTTAAAACTCTCCAAGTGGCTTCCTTTAGCAATTAGGGTGGGAAAAATCCAGTCTCCTTCCCTGAGCCATAAGACATTGATCTAGCCCCTGTTTTGCCTTCTCTATCCATCCTTATCTAGAGGCATGCCCTCTACCCCTTCTACTCTAGCCACAGAAGCCTACTTTCAATCTCTTCAACACATCTAGCTCATTCCCCCTCCAGGGATTTCTACATTGTTCATGATGGTCTCAGCTCAAATGTAGCTGCCCCAGAAAGTCCTTGTCTATTCCATCTAAAGGAGCGCCTTGACTTCCAGGCACTCTGGCCTATAGCCCATTACCCTGATAGACTTGATTCATAGCACTTGTTCTTACCAGAAAATGTGTCCATTTTATGCACATTGTCTGATTCCAAGTGCTGGGGATATAGTGGCAACAAGAAATTTTTCTCTCTAATTGTAATAAAAAGAGCCAAAAATGATTAGAAGTCATCTATTCATCTCTCTGACTCAGCAAGTACAGAGGACTCGGGCTAGAGAACCGAAAGAAAGAAAATGAGAATGAGAAAAGCCCAGGTCCCTAACCCCTAGCCAAAGGAACGACGGCAAGGGTTAAAAGCATGGACACTGGAGTCAACGAGACCCCAGCCAGCCCAGGCTGGGGATTATCAGTTGGTACTGCTTACCAACTGTGGGCCCCCGGTATGCTACTCAATCTTTTTGGACTTTGGGTTTCTCCCACAGAACAGGGATAATGATAGTACCTAACTCATGAGGTTGCTGTAAGCATTGACTGAGATAATGCACATAAAGCACCCAGTACAGGGCGCAGCACGGTGCTGACATTTACTGAGTGCTTAGCTGGGGACTGGGATGGAGACAGCAATCCAACCACAGTTCGGCCCCGAAGAGATGCTCTGCCCCTTGCCTACTCGCCCGTCTGCTCTGATCCTAGGACAAGCAAGCTGAGCAGTTTCCCAGCTACAAACCCCTAATTAAAGAGGAGAGATGACATCCGTGACTGATCATATAAACATTGCAGATTCCAAGCTCCCCTCTCCTGCTGCCCCCAGTCCCTCTCCCCACCCCTCCCCAAAAACTATTTAAATAAGAACAGATTTTACCACCCACCTTGTGGGCAGTCTCTAAGCTAAGGCTGGGGACCAGCTATTTATCCTTCAGCTGCTGTGGGAATTCAACACATACAAATAAAGCTGCTTTTCCAGCCAAGTGTGTATTTTTCCATCAGCATGTGGCCCCCCTGCCCAGGTTGTCTTGTTTAGGTTGGGGTGGCCTGAGGGAGGGAAGAGCAGGGTGGGGGGTATGAGGCTGTGGTTTCAGAACCTGCTCCCCAGGATAGCTGCCTGCAGGGCAGCGTGGAGCCCCGCACAGGGCTGCGAATGAAGCCCCGGAGAGGCTGGGTTAAGCCCGGGGTGATGGACGCAGATGTGCTATGCCCAGAAACAACACATTCCACTTTTTCCTTGCTTCTTGGCCAGTCACCCCTTGCTTCTGCCATGGCCCAGTGAGCACCCATCCCTCTCTCCAAGTCTCAGTTTCCATCACGGATGACAGGTTATCCAGTGTCTCCCTCATGCCCACCCCCATCTCCCACCCTGACCCAGGATTTCTCCCCTTCATGTGCTTTCCCTACTTGCCTTTCCCCCTGACCCCACAATCCCATAGACTATGCCCCCTTCCTTCCACGGCCTGAGTCCTTTAACCAGGACCTTGCAATTCTGCCTCAAAAACAGGCCTGCTAAGGGATCTTTCTCCCCAAACCTCCCATCAGAGGCAACTTCTTGGGAGGAGGTTGTTTTTGTTTTTGTTTTTTGTTTGTTTTTTTTGTTTTTTATCTATTCGCTAAGTTCTCTCCAGACCTGGGAGTTATGTTTGGGGAACCGCCCAAACACGGTCAGGTAGTGACGTGGTCTCTTCTGGGGGGATGTCTGGGTTTCCTTCCCCTGTGAACCCACATACTTCCTGCCTGGCTTCAGGCCCCAGGTTTTCAGCCTTCCTCTCAGGAGTGGCTCTTCTGGGTACCCTTCTTTT